GCGTTTGCATATGAAGTACATCAGTCCTATTTAAAACTTAAATTGTTGTTAGGAAAAATGAGACATGGCAAAGGTTCAGAAGGACGCGGGGGCCAGCCCCCCCCACCTCAATGGCTGGGTTTGAATGCAGGTCTTGTTGCCCATTGGCTGTGGGACCTTAAGCAGATGACTTCACCCAGTATCCTGGTGTGTCACGAGAGACCAGTCCCTGGAGAAGGACACCGTGCTTGGTAAAGTCGAGGGGCAGCGCAAGAGAGCAAGACCCTGGACAAGAAGAATGCACCGAGGCTGCACCAATGGGCTCACGCCTGAGGACGATTGTGAGCATGGCCCAGGACCGGGAGGTGTCCCTAATGCTGTGCCCGAGGTCACCGGGAGTCGGAACCCACTTAACGACAGCTAACAACCAGCCCACCTCAGAGTCGTTGTGAAGATGGATGGAGTTAATTGTGCAAGGGGACTCGAAACCTTTGTGGAAAGATTCCATTTATCTTTTAACTTCCTGTCGATTCCACAACCCTTTTGAGGGTCCTTCGCGTGTTCTATTGCTTCTACTTATATTTAAGATTCCTTCTGGGTTTAGCGATGGCTCCATTTTTTTAAATCTCAATACCAATACTAGTCTCAACCCTTTATCTTTCCTTTGTATACCAAGAAGTTGAAGGAACTTAGGTTACATAATTATCTGTAAATTGTAAGGCTCAACCACACCTGAGAAATTTAAAGTCAAACTCTTGTCAGACTTGATTCTTGGTTCCAAATTAGGAAGTAGGTTCACGAAAAGAACCCATCAGGTAAGGCCTGGCGAGCTATCCCTTCACACGTGTGTACCTGTGCTTGCCTACAGCTCTGTGCCTGTGTCCCCTTGCAAAGGTGGGGCAGCTGGCGCCCTGTGTGAGGGTCTGTTTGCCTTCAGGAGTAGTGAGCAAGTCCGCTTGGCGTCCTCACAGAAGACTCTACCAAGCCTTCTTGGAAGGGGAGACTGGTGTGGACTTACTGACGATGGGTCTGGAGGTTGGCTCGTGGATTGAATATCTGGTTCATCTGGGAGATTTGCTTGCTTTTGGTGATTTCTATGATCGGGAGTAGATATTGCAACATTTCTTGCGTTTGAGATAGTTTCTTATCCCGGTAGATTCTCTTCTCGTCATCTGTCAGGTTTACGCCTGCCTTCTTGCTTTGGAAAGATGTGCACCTTTTCGGGTTTCTTGTCAGGTGGTGACGCAGACCCGTGGGACCTATGGAGAAGTACATAAGAGTCATGTGACTCACGGTGACTT